TTTAGTTTTGGACAGAGTGGGGAAGGATTAGAACCTCTGTCAGGTTTAATGGTATCTGGGACTCCATCAGAGAGATTTGCTTTCATGTCCGGTACTGGGGACAACATTTTTCACCAAACAGGAAGAGAGAAGGAAACTCGCAAAACAACAACACAGACAAGTTAGGTAGAGAAATGATAGCAACCCTTTCATTGTTGTCTGTTTCTTTGAAGATTTTCCCTCACTTCCTGTCTGGTAAAATGTTGTCACCAGCACAGAAAATGAGGGAGCCCCACAAGGCTGTAATACCTGACAGAGGTTGTAACCTTTCCCCACTATACCCAAAACTAAAAATTGGCTATAGTTACACTTTAAGTCTTTATAAACTGTGGGGGGGGGGATTTATCAATTTGGTGACATCATCAGCATCTTTTAAACTTGCATCCTTTATATCTAGTGCATATAGCGACATATTTATTATCCTAGTTTATGACATGTCCCACCATACTTAATTATATGTAAGTCTTTTTTCCCAGAATGAAATGATTGCACATTATTGCTGACAAATGCTTATTTCTGTATCGGGGGGCACCGTCAGCGGCCAATCGGGACAGGTAGCAACTTAGAAGAAACTAATAGACTGGATAATGAGATCTGTCTTCAGCAGGTCTTTAACGTTAATGCAGCGTGTATATTTTGTGTGTATGCATGGCTATATAATCATATATTCTAAAACATGCAGCCAAGCCATTTGAGTTCTATGCTCTCTCCTCTTTGTTTTTAGGTATTGGAATTTGGAAGAAGTGTACATGCACAAACTACACATACATGTTTAATCTATGTGCGTGCCATCTATAAACGCTCCTCATTCAAAGCCTCATTTAGACAGACGGCTGTGGGGCGATAAGATTAGGCTGTTGAGCAGCAGTTTTAGCGCTCCTCGGCCACCTGCTGAGCAATGTTAGCATTGTGGCCAGACAGTGAGGTATATACATTATTTTTGCCATGCCACGATGCTATGTTTTGTGGCGCAGCAAAAATTCTGCATGAAAGTGAATAGGAGCTTGCCACAACTGTGTGCCAAACGCTTGGCATGCGGTTGTGGCATGGTAATTCAATGAAAAATCTCTCCTGGGGGATCCCAAAGAAAAATGACATTCAGGAGACGGTAGTATCGCTTCCCGAACGCCTGGGAGCCACTGCTTTACCGCCCTGTGAAAAACAATCCACAGCAAATCAATTTTCAGGGGACAAAGAAGCCCCAATCTAGTCTAAACAAAGCCTAACATCAGCAGGCTACTGGCATAGTGCAAATCATTGCTAAAAATATCAATTTGCTAATTACATTGGACTTACTAGAGGACAAATGCAGTAACTGATGCAGATGGCCTAAAAAACCTCTACCTTAATGCAGAGTAGCTTTGTCACTGTGGCCAGCAATGGAATTAACACAAAGGAGATGAAAATTATAGTGGCTATTTTCTAAGGTGGGGTTCACACCTTGCTGTTGAGGTGCGTTGCAGCAATTCACACATGTTAACACCATGCATTAATGTGTGCTCCATTATTACATAATGAATGGACTGGCAATGCACCTCTGGTGCCCTGAAATTAGTGCAGTGCACCCACATCAGCAAAGTGTGTTGGGGTGGCATTCAGAATGAATGGCACCGTATTGCACCACTGCAAGCAACATTATAGTAATGTGGATGGGGCCTTAGCAAAGTGAATGTTCACTTAATGTAAATAGGCAACGCAGTGTTCACTTTAAATACCCAATCATGGTCCAGGGGGATTCTTTTTACAAACACATGACATGACCATTGTTCTATTGTTTGCACTTGATTGTATGATTCAAGTGAATATACTTTCAGACTTTATAAACAACATTAAAGTGTAAATCCAGTGAGTTAAAGGCGTGTATGCGACACAACAACCCTTATCAGCCAATCCAAATTCATCTTTCATCTCACTGATGAGACTGTGATGTGATTATCTGATATAGATTACTGTACTTTACACCTCCTAGATCTGTATACATTATATTTGGCTCAGTCTTGTTTTAAAATGAATCTTATTTTGATGATATTTTATGAAATGTATTTTATTGGCAATCACGTAGTTATACTCTCAAAAATATAATTGATCGATTTAAAATTTGTGTTTCCATTCTGGAATTTATTAACAATAAATGTATTTTGTTCCTGAACTCCAGATTGCTGTTTCATGCTAGCCTCTGTCTGTCTATGGTTGTATCACAGGAATATCATTCATAGGTTATCAAATTGTGAAAAAAGTATATGCGCAGAAACAATAAAGCAGATTCAATACATTCTTTGTATGAACTTCTTCCGCCTCGTGTACACTTTCTGGCTTAGTTTGTAATAGTTTCGTTATATGCGGAGTCAGCTGCTGACGTGTTTACTTTGCAAGGTAAACACACTTAGAAGGCTACACGCAACATTTCAACAAAAGTTCCTAGTTCATCATACCTTTTATGTACATTACAATGAGGAGAATGTAACCCAAGAGCAGTAAAAGAACTTGATGTGAGAGAAATGCTGATCTTTTTATGAGAACGCTATCTGCCTTGTATAGTAAAGTGCGTCGCAAACTGCTGGCATTATATAAATCCTGTATAATAATAATAATAGCTGCCTGTTGTGCCGACCCTATGACCTCTATTGTTTTGTTTTCTTTAAGAGGTACTGACCCAGAAACCTATGCAGGTCAGTAGTTCATCACTCTGACTTCAAGTTTTGCATATTTTCTTCTAAGTCTCTGATGTAGAAAGTATTTAAGCCAGAGACAGCCAGGTAACCAACATTTTCAGAAAGAGGTCAGTAATAGCAGCATCTTTATTGCTTATATGACAGGTTTCCTTTAAAGGGAATGCACATTGCTTTTGTATAAATTTTCTTTTTTTAAAAGAAAACACTTTTTATAGTCATGTACACATTATATATTACATATTAAGATTTTGTATTGTCATTTTAAACAACAGGTAAAGTTTTAGACTCCCTCACATTTTAGTTTGTCTCCTTGCTTATTTGTTGTAAAAAGCTTATTGTTTAAAGAGCTCAGTAGCTCAAGCCGAAGTTTAAGGCCTCATTCAGATGGACAGCATGGAGGCTGTAAAAACAGGTGGTTGAGCCACATCTTTGCTTGCCTACCTAAATCTAATATAGCAGCTGCTCAGGCTGGTATACATTCTGTGTCCGTATTGCTTTGCATCACAGCTGCTGTAAATTTTAAACAGCATGGCAGTACCACTTGTCAAACGCGACCACTGCAATCGGAGGGACCGTGGCACGATCGCATGGGTATGTGGTTGTGGTGTAGTATTGCAATTGAAAATCCCAATTAGGATACAAAAAGTGAGAAACCAGCATGCAGTTTCATCTCCTGTAAACCAGGCAGCCACTGCTACACCACCCTCTGTAATTAAGCGATCCACTGCGGAATGCTTTTCAGAAGGGCAGTGGAGTCTGCCGCCGTTCTGAACAAGGCCTTAAAGTGACATTAAACCCTCAGATTTTTTAACATAAAACAATAGTGTAATGTGTGCCTTACTGTAATCCATGGTTGTTTCCCTTCTCTTTGCTGCTCTTCCTTTTAAATTTGTATCTCTTCTCATGCTGGGCAGAACTTCTGTTTTGCAGCAGACTGCCTTGTCTCAGGAATGGATACACGGTGTCTATGTATTAAGTTCTATAGGCTTGTAATCTGAGCCAGCACTACAGGAAGAGGCCCTGAGCTGAAAAGGGAAGTTCTCCCCGAGCATGAGAAGACATGAGGATTTAAAAGGAAGAGCAGCAAAGAGAAGGGAAACAACCATGGATTACAGTAAGGCACACATTACAGTATTGGTTTATGTTAAAAAATCTGAGGGTTTAATGTCACTTTAATCAGTCAAAGCAAGTCTTAAGGCAGGCAGCATCTACGCTATAGTCTCTTTAGAAAACCTGTAGTTCTTTGTATTTGTAGTGCTCACCCCTGAAGGAGCCGCAGGAATAACCTGGGTCATCATCATCAATGGTCTGTCTAGGGGATTTGATCTTCAGCCGCCCCATTAGCATCAACTGCCCTCTTCTAGAGCCAACAAACTGATGTCCTCTCCGGTAATGCATTGCTGAATACCTTTTATTAAACTTCTTCACACTGGGGAGAGAGGATATAGGGAACCAAGACATTCAGGATGTAACAGACATAGACACTAGACTTACCAGACCTTGTTAGCATCTCAGTGTAGATCCACTTGTGGTGCAGCGAATAGTAATTGGAGTATCAGATGAGCAGGAGATGAGTACAGATCCTCGACAGGAGAGACGCCAGCCATGCTTCAGAGGTCCTCTATATACTGATATTTTAGGCGCCTTGTGCGAGAAAGCTTTATAGCGCCCCTCAGTGACCACACCCCTCAGTAACCACACCCTTCAGTAACCACACCCATTTTTCCAATAACCGCACCATTTAAAGACTCCCATTTTTGTAAGCCCCAAAGAAACATATTAAAAAGTAAGGTAAAAATAAAACTTATATTCAAAGCTATTAAACTTGTAGGCACAATATAAGTATTCTTATTCCATAAAACAGAAGTCGAACAATAAATGTCAAATTAAAATAGAGTCTTTAAGAATAAAGTGTCAGGTTGTCATGCAGACCCTTCTTTCAAGTAAGTGTATATTCTGATTCCGATCGTTGTGATAGCGAAATATATCCCTTGCTGAGACCTCTATGCCTGGCCTGTATAAGCAGATATACTCACTGCGGACAATCCTCGTCAGATAGCTGAACTCGTCAATACCGATTCATTCAAAAGAGGTGTTTATTCTTTACATCAGGTTACAGCAGATGATAGGAACAGCAGTTGAACGGTTATAGTATTG